TAATAGTTTTTCAGAAACACTGACAAATCATCACTTGATAAATATAACATAGTGGTAACAAACACCTGATTACACATCAGCAGACAATTTCTATACACAGTTTGTATGTGTTTTTGTAAAATGTATGGTTTTGACATACCACTGTCTTCACAGTCTACATGTCTCTGTGCAAGGATAAAAGTGAGCTGAGGAAACACATTAAAAGTTTGGGCCTAAAACCGCATGTACTACATGATCCTGCATCTGTGTTCATGGGGAGAAAATTATTATTTTTAACCTATTTGAATCTTCAATCACCTCTGGCAAAACAAGTTACACCTGTTATAATATTTTGCCATTTGCATTACCTGGTATCAGAACATGCTCAGAATGAACTGATCTTCAAGATCATCATAAAGACCATCAAGAGCCTATGTCTTTGTGCTGTCAGTGCACAAAAAAACAAAAAAACAACTTTCATCCAGCAGGAACTGAAACTTGAATAACACCCAATGATAGCATGGTTTGGTTTATGACACTTTTCTTGCCTGAAGAATTCTACCAGCCCACCATCTCTGAAATAGATCTAGTTTGTTTCTCTTGTATTCAAAATGTGCTCCCCAATCCAACAGGCAGCCCAGTTTAATTGCTTTTTCAATGTTTAGGTGCATACATTTTTAATATAACTTCTTGTGACTCTGAATGTAAATGTTCAATTTGGGAAGAAGGATACTGCTTATTTAATGGGTGTAGAGTTTTGTCTATTTAACAGGGAAACATTTTATAAGAATAGTCAAGGAAAAAAGAGGAGCAGCTACGAGTCACCTGTCCAGTTAAGTACACTGCCATTAGTGGTCAGAACTAATAGTATTGTGTTGAGAAGCCACAGGAATGGCCAGCATCAGTATAAACCTTGTAAAGAAATATAGCAGGTAGAGAAAAACAATGACAGAAGCAAATAGATGGAGAAGATGTCAGCTGAAAAAAGCTCAGGCTGATTGTTAGACACCTTGAGGAAGAAATGTTTAGCAACAGCATCCGCAGAGCTGGTCTGAAACAGTGAGTCAAAAAAGAAAGACGGTAAAGAGGTAAGCAAGTCAGATCCAAACCTTATGCTCCTCCTGTAAAATGCAAACACACACACAAAAACACATGGACAAGATGTCAGTCAGCACTGCCTGTCTTTGAACACGTATCATATTTAGAGCAACACAGAAAAGTGACAAACTAAATTATTTCATCCAAACGGCAATGCACTGTTTCATGATTTAAACAAAGGACATTCACAAACACGTCTGACACAGTGGTATAAGTGCTGGATCATTTTGGATGAGGGCTGACTCACTAGACAAAAGAAAGAGAAGGCATGTTTCTATCCATATCCTGACCTGTGCCATTAATGTCAGCCTTATTGATTGCATGAGATCTGTTTTCTTTACTGCAAATTGACAATACACTTCACGAAAAAAAGATGTTAAGAATCTGTTTGTGGGAACTTTAAATATGATCATGGTGGTATTATTTCCTTCATAGACTAATGTGACAACATTTAGAACAAATGTCTAAAGTAATAAAATGATGTTATGATGTTTAATATTCACTATGACATTGTGTTGTTCTGCTAAAAGACTTGTCTGTGCTTTATTCAGCACCATAACACAGGAACAGAAGGGGGGCTATGACCATACAGTATTCTCTACAACTTGACTGGAGAGTGGTGGAGAGATACATTACATTACATTACATTACATTACATTTAGCTGATGCTTTTATCCAAAGTGACTTACAATAAGTGCATCAATCATGAGGGTACAAACCCAGAACAAGAATCAAGTAAGTGTATGATACAATTGTGAGGTAATATTTCTATATGATATAGTGAAACCAATGGTGATACTGGGATGACAATTGTTGTAATGTACTTAAAATCCACATGATTATGTTTATTTCAAGAGATTAAACGGCATGAGGATAGGAACAAGGGGAAACAGCCTGACTGTCCAAATTCACAAACATACTAAGCCAACACCTCTACAGCTCTCTGATTAACACATTATACATAATCTGTGGAATCCAGAAAGGGGAAGTAACAGGCTTGGGCAAGAAGTAGCTGCCATAACTCCATGTATCTTGTCATCCTTGTATTTCAGTTTTTATTATTATTTATGTTACTGTTATTAATTAGACGTTTCCTTTTCACTCTTGTCTTTTTGCAAAGTTAAGCTCATTACCTCCTGGCTGTAGTTCTTAAAGGTACGTTGTGTAGAATGTTGTGATATCTAGTATTGAAGTTGCATGTTGCAGCTGAACACCCCTCACTTCACCCTCCCCTTCCAAACATGAAAAAGAACCTGTGGTGTTAGTTTGTCCAGTCTGGACTAATATAAAAAACATGGCAGCCTCCGTAGAGAAGGTCTCCTCCATGTAAATATAAAGTATGTAATATAAAGGACGTTTTCTGGGGTAAAGAAAGCTACAATTAATACAATTTAGATGAAATGAACTAGTGAAAACATCATGAGGATTATTCTACATTAAATTCCTGCCAATAGATCTCTTTCACCTAAATCTTACACACTGGAACATCTAACTCTAAGCTATAAAGCCAGAATGTGCAATCTATATACACTTGATGTATGAAGAAAGGTATCTGTGGTGCTCTCTCACCTCCTCCTCCTCGCCGAAGCCTGTCAGGTCCCAAATGTAGTTGAGACGCATCTGTCGTCTCTTCCAGTGCTCCATAAAGAGAACCGCTACACAACCAAGCACACACAGCAAACTAAGCACACACTCAAAACACAATCACTCAATTATATTCATCTGTCTAAATAAATGTTGTATCTGAATTATGTGAATATATTTGAGGTTATTGTCATCTCATGGTCATGCTTCCCACATGAAGGTATAATCATTGCAGTTAATATATGAGTTAAATAGGTTCTCGACAAGAGTGGAGCTCTATGGCACAGAAACAGAGTAATAGGATCAGACTTTCATGGTTTGTTAACAAATGATAAATTGCTTTCAGTCTGTTTACATCGACACAGTTTGCTACAGCAAACAGTTTCCCAATGAGAATATCTACATAGACTCCATCCATCCATAATCTATGCTGATCATTCTTGGATTCTAAGGATTGAGGACAGAGCTGGAGCCAGACCAACTGGAACCAACATACAGTGCATTCTCCCTCATCAGGTCTACAGTAGGGGAATACAGATGGCCATCTTGCTGTGAATCTGTAAGACACTAGCTTTGTCTAAAACACATAACACCTCCCTGCTGCTGCTAACAGATGGCAGTGTGGCTTGATAAGGCACCAGAAGAGGTCTGCCTGTGTGTGTTTACATTTCTAGATTCCTATTGCAAATTGCATGTGCATGAGCGGGTAAATGTGTTCTGCTAATGCTCTGGATTAAATTTTATGATCTATTAATTGGATTTCTTCTCAAGCAATGCTAAGATACATATTGTATCTGTAAGATTCTGCTCATCTAGTCAGGTTTATTGGACCCTTTCGTTGTTGTTTTTGTGATTAGATACAAGTATGCCATTACCCCAGAGGGCCATGAAGATGGAGAAGAAGACAGTGGCTGGGTTGTCGAACAGGTGGCTGGCACGAGCTGTGCCACAAGCAGTCACCAACTTCCAGTAGCTGCAGACATGGTCACACAGCGGGCACATGGTGATGTTGTTCCTTGGATCACAAATCTCCATACTGACAGCAAAGAGATAGGTGGAAGAGATTGATAATTCAAGGGGGTGGAAGACAGTAAAAGGATGGCTGTGAAAGTTAAGAATTAGCTTCAGACTGATTGCACCAATCTGCATAATATCACAATGTGCAAATTTGCATATATATTTTACAGAGAAACAATTGAGAAAGCGCTTTTGGATAGAATGTAGAAGCATTATCTCATGAATCAGCATTAATGAATCTACGATGGCTGGAAAAAATCAGATGCATAGTGAAATATGTGAATCATCATATTAGCAAACACGGAGACAAGCTCTGTGCATGTACAAGTCTTCGATGACTTGGTGACGCATTTCCCCTAAATGAAGGTACCTAAAAAAGGTACTCATACTGAGGAAGTGTTCTGAGCCCATTGTTTACTACAATGCAACATGTCAACATTTCAACAAGTCATCTGTTGCTTCCGAATACTTCAAATCTAATTTCCTAGACCAAGTGAATATCTGCCAAACACTCAAAATATGTCTCTTTGGTGTCTTAAAAATGTGCCACATCCTCACCTAACTCTGCATTGAAAACATTGTTAGATTATAGTAGGCATATTGTAAGTGTGTGTGTGCGTTGTGTACCTAGGGATGTTATCATCAACAGTGGCACAGCCGTAGAGGAATACAATGACTCCAACGATGGCTGCAGGGATCAGCATCTGTGTGTAGACACCTAACCAAGCAAAATACAGTCCAACCTTCTCCCCAAAATACTTCCTGTGGAAAGAGATACAAAGGTTAAAGGTTTTTAATGTACTCATTTACTACTATTACCCTGTGACACATGGACTGCTTAACTGCCAGTGTGTTCCATTAAAAAAGTCTTAATGTTAAAGTTTTTCCTTCTGTCTGGAAAAACCTCAAAAAATGACACTGTCAGTGTTGTGTTCCTTAACACACGCTCAGTGTGCTTGGTAAGAGACTACTTCACATACACCTCATCCTCAAAGTCTCTTTCCCTCAGCTTACCACAGGACTATTGCTTCCACATAAGAGCCTAATTGGAGCATCATTCTGCTTGTGTGAATCCTCATCTGTCTTTCTTGCCTGCAGGCTGGCACAGGCAGTAATTGTTGCTCTGAGAGCACCAGCCATGTTACATGTGTGAGGTAGGGAAATGTGTCTAATTGACTTGATGATTGCATCAATAGCACTGTTGTGGATCTGACCTGATGAGTCCAATGGGCTGGTACTTGTAAAAGACACTGTAGCTGGCCCACTCCTGGTACAGCAGCTGTAAAGAGAAGAATGAGCTCATATTGAATGTTTTAATACAATGGCAAGAATTGTTAAATACAATGGCAAGAAAAAGTAAGCGAACCCATTAAAATATGGTGAGATCTTTGTCTAAGTTATAAACAAACACAATCCGTATCAATAAATCATCACATTACAAAGTCCAGACCCAGTTCTCTGAAAGATCCTCCACAGGACGAGGCTGATAACGGCTCAACATGCAGGACATTACAGAAGAATTCAAGTTTGTTCAAGAGAAGCTTGAAAAATAGATCTACTGGAAAAATGTTTTGTGGACTGATGAAAGGACGGCTGTGGTTCAGGAGGTAGACTAGGTCATTTACTGGTTTGAAGGTTGGTGTTTCGATCAGTGGCTCCACCAGTCTCCATGTGGAGGAGTCCTCAGGCAAGACACTAAACCAGTAAGTGCCCCAGATGGCTTGTCCATTAACTCAAGGGTGATAGAGAAGTGCTACTTTTATAAGTGCAGTCGTTATATGCTGTGGCTGAGGGGTAGTGCGGCCGTCCCCCAACCAGAAAGTTGGCAGTTAGATCCCAGTCTTCCCTATCTGCATGCCGAAGTGTCCTTGGGCAAGATGCTGAACCCTGAATTGCCCCTCATCGGAAAAAAGGTGCTGCTAATAGATGCACCGTATATGTGTGTGTGAATGGTTGAATGACAGACTGTACTGTAGAGCTTTGAGTGGTCATCAAGAATTAAAAAGTGCTATATAAATACCAATTCTATTAAACACTACCATTTACCATTATACAGAATTTGACCATTCAGCTAACTGAGCCACAGTTTTTGAATGACTAGCCAATATTTGCTTTTGCTGGCCACCAGATATAACTTAACTACATGTTTTTATTTGAGGATTTATGCTGTTATACATCACTGTCAAGTACATGTCTAATGCATTAAAGAAAAATATATACCTGCACTCATATTTGCATTATAAATCCACTGATGAAACAAATTCACTGTAACATATTTTTTCATTGAGTGCAGGTAGTGTGCCACAAAGGTTCAATGGTCACACTTCCAAATGAGTTACTGGGTGACAGGAAATCAATCTAATGAAAAACAGACCTGCAGACTGAACAGAATATCACCATTTATCTTAAAGAAAGAGCTTCCAGCTGATTCTAGTCCAGCAGGGATTTATGTCAGGTCATCACTGAGAACCCATTGTTGTAGGAAAACAATCATAATAAACAATGACATTAAAAACGTGTTGTATTTTATCTGGACTCTGAGTCTAAATAATAAATATCTTCCCTATCTAATCTTGAGTATATAGAGGAGCATCTTAAGTTTGCATCCATAATGCTACAAATGTAAGAATATAAGCATGGTACACATTGCAAGCAGGTCATTTAGATTGAGACTGCAGTGGATCAATCCAATGTAACATTTAAATGAAACAGTGTTGCAGTTACATTCATTTGTCTGGGCAGATAAAATGTTCTATAGTTGCAGAGATTTTTGGTCATTTGGCAGTGATCTGCTATTACCAGAAATTATATCCAGTCTTTTTATACTATTTTAAAATCTCTAGCATATTTTAAAGGAGAATATAAACTATGACCTATATATCATATATCATAATTTCTTTTATGAATCACTGGTGGACATCTCATTTAAACAGCTGTTACTATTCTTTAGGGAATGATGAATTGTAAGCTGCATTTTAAATTAGGGGAATGTAGAAGGAATTTTGATTTACTGTGCTATTAATTTTAGTTTTTAATGTACTATAATTAATACTGCAAGAATGTTTAGGTTAATCGGGTTGGGGTCAAACTTATTCATACTCAGTGCTATGTGATACAGTTATCACCAAACCATTGACTGCAAACATGATCCGTTCCAACTACTGGTGATGAAATATAAATCACAGTGAAATGGTGGAACATTTTCAAATGAAATCCAAACTCCATTATCAGGCAGAGCAGCACACTGCAAGGCGTTCATGTGAGGCAAGAGGGCATTCAGGCAGCATCACAGAACACTGAGCTCGTAAAGGAAACCATTTTATATTCAGCCCCTCAATGGTTTTTCCTTCCCTTCACACACACACACACACACACACACACACACACAAAGCCGGTTGCCTTAGTGACACACACACAGCCTAAAGTATAATTATGGAGGAGAGGGGAGACTCAGCTAGCCGTATAGCTGACTTACTTTTATTCTTGTATAGTGGCAGACAAAGGCTTGATTTTGTAACCATTCTTGGCTTGTAAAACTTATTGAGTAGCATGTTTTAGTCACTTAAAGATAATGTATTACTGAGTCGCATTAAAAAGAGGATATACCTACATACAGCTATTATAATACAATTCAAGAATATTGTTGGTCTATGGCATATCAAATGTAGATAAAACATGTAGTCAATTTCCTGTGACAGGAAGGATGTATTTGTAATTTGTAATCGTATTTGATTTGTAATTATGAATTTGTTACATGTGATCATTCTTGTTCAAATCTCCCACCATTTTAAACAAGTTTAGAAAAAGAAAATGCTGTTTCTATTCTTTTCCATATTGCTAGATCTGCACCTCTACTGTTACCATGGTACTCTGTCTTGGTTTTTAGAAAAAGCCCTCCCTTGTCTACTTAATGTTGGTCTTATTTTCACACAACTGTGACTATGGATCATTCTAAATTTGCAACTCCATTGCAGAACTTTTTGAAATTAACTCAACTATCTGGACAGAGATTTGTTTGGGGTGACTTTGATTCCTTAGTTTAACAGTGTCAAAACATAGGGCTTTCTTTGGGCTGATTGATGAATCAGTATTTGTAAATGTGTTGAGAGTGTCGGTGTGGTAACATCTGATTCAATTTATTGACTCTACTTACCTTCCTGTCATTAGGTTCCGCATTGACCTCCTCGATGTCTCCCTGTAACACATCCATGTACACACACAACCCCACACTCAGTTCATGTTTCATTTTCAGTAAATATACTTTGGTCAACAAGCATGAATAATGCATTTAATTTAGAAACCTTAAAGTCAACCACAAATAGAATTCTTCTCCATAAACTAGAGGGGTACTTGGAGAGCATGTACCTCCACCAATATCCCCATACTGCATATGCTTGATTAACATCAGATACTTTTACGATGTACACAGACCTTTTTGGCCAACACAGACAAACCATCCATTCTCTGGTATAGGAGAGGAATATTTCTTAACCCACGTTATAGATTATAAATAAAGATTTAGGGTTAATTCATATGTATGCGCAAATGCTTTGTTGCTTGTTATTGTAGAATTCTCTGAGTGTGAGGAATATTTCTCTCTGGAAATGAAGTGCAGATTATAACAAATCTCAGGCCTGTGAACGTGTGATAATGACATACTCACATCATGCAGAGGATAAGCAGACGTGTAGACACCATTGGCTAGCAGACTGGTGATCCCTGCAGGAAATTAATTCAGTGGGGATTACAATGCAGGCACACACACAGACACACACACAGATATATGTTCTTTATATACTGTATACTGTGAACGCATCTATCCGCGGAGAAATGCACGCTGCCTCTTTTCAGAAACTGTGTTTTCAAAAGAACCACCACATTTTGTGATGTCGCAGCTAACTCAGCCCTCAGCATGCTAACTTGGACCCACAATCCAATTTTCTTTGGTTGTTGCTTTAACGTTATTAACAACACAACACAAAGCAGTCATTCCATTGCTGAGCAAGCAGCTATGAGACAGAAAATGCTGCACAATCATTGGATGTTGGATGTCTTTCCGAAGACAGAAAAATTTGAGACTAGAATTGAATCATCTGTTTAATTCACTTCAGTGCTGACTACTACATTTTCCAGGGAATTTTACTGAGCTACAGTAGAAGGCTGCATTCCATCACCAGTGGTTGGTTGCAATCTCTACAAACAGGTGCATGTGAATATGAAGAATGTCATTTTTGTTGTTGTTTTTTTACTAATTGGGAATTGATTTCTTTAAGAAATAAATAAAAAGATCATAAAAGAGATGAGAATTGATATTAAATACGCAGGCAGAGAGTATTCCACACCCTTCTCTACTCTGTGGAAGTAATTACACTTTACGCCAATGAAAAAGGGGCCCAGATTAAATGCATATAGATTTATGCTGTGTGCTAGACATATATGCAGAGGACTTACCCATGGAGTATTTGGCTCTGGTGCATCTTGTCCTCTTCAGTACCTCATAGACCTAATGTTACAAACAAAATCTCATTTTCACTGAGCAGCTTCAGCCCTAAAAATATGATGATTTAGATATACAGAGGAGAATGAGGTGTATTTGGTACACTGGTATAATAGCCCAGGTGAGATTGTTAGAAGGAAAACTAAGCAGGTAAACATTTTGTGTGTCTGTCCTCAGAGAAGCTGCTGATCAGCTCAGTGTAAAACACTGAGGACTATACACAGAGAGTTAAGAGAGGAGCCTGGGAGCCAATGATGCTGTGATGAGGAGCTCCATCCAATAATGAGAAGTCAGTCATTAGTCTAGTGCTGAGTGGGTGTGTAGCTGTTTTCACACATGTACTGCAATGCAGAACTTTTCTAGCCTTTGCCTGAAGGAGCTGTATGAGTGAACGCAAATGTCTGAATTGGTGAAATTGGAAATTAAACGCATTGTACCCTGCCAACTCCCTAGAATAAAGTATGTCATTGAGCCCAAGTCTGAAAAGAGACGCTCATTGTTCAGACAATTCACAAGGAGTGAGTAGGTTTGTTAATCGTGTTTCTATTATTTCTCCTGGGTGCCACCTCTCATTAAACCAAGCAGAGCATATCCAGTATTATGTGAAAACACATCTCATACTAGACAGTCTCCAGTTTTGTGCTACATGTGTAATAGGACCACAAGTTCATTTATAAAAATGGCAATTGTGTGGATGTCAATATAGCAGCATTTGTATGACATATACGTTTGGAAAATCAGTTCGGTTTTGATGGCAGCACTTGTATTAAATAGTCACTTAGAAGCCAAAAAAGTGCCCATCAGGAGCACAGGATTAAAAGTCTTTGATGTTAGATGACACTTTTTCTTTTTTCAAGAGATACCATGTGAAAGCATGATTCATGAAGGAGCCGCCTGCCAACTGCTTATCTACTAAAACCAATACTTACAATTGAGCTCCTGGTCTTGCTGTCAAAGAACTTGTCCCTGTCAGACAGATCGAATCTGGCAAGTAAAAGCAAACAGAGTTTCCAATATGACAAGTAGGACCAAAAGTAAAACAAATAAGTTACACATGTATGTAAACAACAGAATGAGGTCTCGGGCATTAAGTGAGTCTAAAAGAAGCACAGGCTGCAATTTCACAACAAACTAATGATGAGAGGAGTGGCAGCAAGAAAGAAACCTCAATAAATCCTTGTTGGCTCAGTCAGTCAACCCTGCTAATTATGTTCATATTTCTTCATCTGCAATAGCAATTTACATCAGTGGCAAAATTCACAGACATTCAGCAGGCACTGTATGTAGGAACACCCGAGGCCTTGGAGGTCTTAGAAGTGGATATACAGTAAGTACAAACAGACCTTTGTTTGTGTCCAGACTCATACTAGAGGTCCAAGGTCTCCCTGCGTTTAAACCTTACAGTAAAACCGAACATTTACCATGTATGAGATAATGAGAGAATAATTATTAGAAAGTCAGCTCAGTGAAGAGCAACAAAAAGTTAGCTGTCGGTTTAAATGTGTCACTTTTTTTAAGACACAAACTGGGGTAGCAAAAACAAGAGTTAAGCAAATAAGTTCAATAAATAATTAAACATTTTAAGCCACAACCATGAACCGTAACAGAAAAAAATCCTTTTATGAAAAACTACAAATTTGGTGCAAAAAACAGAATCCTGTTTATTAATTATGCAGAGCAGCTACAGTACAGTTTAGACAAACTGGCTTTGCATTCATGAAACCAGGTATGATCAACGCAAATTCTTTGTAATCCCTCTAGACTTTTCGATCCACATTTCTTTTGCCAAGCAAGCTTCACCCGAATGTCTAGCTAACTTCACTCTGTACACAATTTGGTACACACAAAAATGAATTTTGTAGGCCTGCGTAAGGATGGATCTCTAATGCCAAGTCATAATTCTGAAGTAGGTTATGTCAAATTGTCATTAGAATATATAAGTCTCCATACAAAATAAACTGACAGGCAGCCATTCTTTTTAAATTCATAATACACATTTTTTATTCACAACATGGAAAGAGAAGACCATTAAGAGCATTCCTTGATGCAAATAGATCATCAGTGGGCCTATCCATTGCTGTCTTAATGCCTCGCCTCTTTAATTTCTTGAGTTAATATTTTTTTCTATTCTCTGTGTAGCCTGCATTGTTTCAACAAACATAGTTCCCCACCCTAATCGGGTGTGCTACCAGGGAAGCAAAAACCCACAGGTGCTGGCTTTTGCATCATGTCTCTAAAGGTGTCAGTGAAATTCTACAAATTCCAGGTGAATTCTTTTAATTATTTGCTTGTATCAATCTTTGATTATGTCCTGTCTCATCATCTAATGGCTTAGAAAACAGACCACTCTGGATAGAGCCTGTTTTAATATATTGTGTAAGTTGCTGTCCACCAAGCAAACTTAGGGGGTCTGGACTGTTGAACTAGGAATGCAGAGTCATGCTCCTCTTCCATCTTACACATGGTGAGTAAATCAGAATTGGTGTTGCCCATTGTTCCCTCACTATCTGGTGCCCCTTGGAGATGCTTTTCAAAGAATGGAGGCATGTCTGGGCACTCAGCATTTGTCATTTCCACCAGGTGGAGGTTGCTTCCAACAGGCAGGGGTCCTGACTCTACAAGCCTTTGCTTCCTGATCCTTTCCAGGTTCTTTTCTAGCATAGAAGTGCAGTGGGGACATGACTGGAAATCAGCCAGAGATACCTAAGCTAACTTAGCATGCATGTACATCAGATAAAGGTTCCTGTCTTAAATGAATGACCTGAATGATTAGGGGAAATTTGATCTGTGGTTCCAGTCCTTTAGTGGAATTACATGCAACTGTAAAGGAAGTAAATTGTATAAATAACCAACCAAATAACACGCTGAAACACATAAGCCTGTCAATCAGTGGGACTAGCAAACAGTATGAGTTAGGTCGGCATGACACGATAGCAAAAATTAACTCAGCTATCCAATCAATGCTAAACAATTTCGACTGAGGCCAGGAGCTGCCCGGTAATTACTAACAAATCCATAAAGATTTGACCAGTCTCTTTACTGCTTTCTGTTTGCCTGTCATATGTGGTAAACGTCCAAGGTGGAATTTCCGCCCCAGTCTGAGTGTCTGAGTGTGCATTCTTCATCACTTGAAAGCCGAACCAATGTTGACACACCTCATAAACGTGTCTGTTTTTTTTTTCTTTTGTGGCAATGTGAATTTGTTGGACACACCACTCTTAGACCAATGTCAGTCAGTGTTCCTTCCAAGCATTTACTTTAATGTTGCTGCTATCATCTGCAGTCCCAATAAATCCCAGTCAAAACACCATAAGATCTGGTCAAGCCTGAATCATAGATTTAGCATCTCTTGCTCCCACTGCCCCCTTCCCCCACTTCTTCTCTTCTTCCTTCTTTTTTCCCGTGCTTAAGCACAAATTACCCCTTTTGCATCATATAATAGTGGTTTTTGGGTCTGTCCAAGCTACTTTTCTCCCCATTTATGTCTTGAGATATTCGCTGAATTGGACAAAATGTGTGTTGGATTAAAATCCCTTATACAAACTTTAATCTCAGAGCTGACTTGGAGTGTTCTCAAAAAAGATGAATATTGAGTGAGCAAAATATGTGGAGGGAGATTTCCAGCTAGCTGTTAGTCAGAGCTGTAAATATAGCTGCCCACTGCCCACTCTCTTCTCTACACATCCCAGGAGGTTGACTTTTATACCAAGACATTTTTTTTTCTTTAATCACTGCCTTTGAAAGTGATTTCACTGGATAGGATATGAAGCTGTGACTTTCTGTAGTTAATCCAATTAATCAGTGCTTTATTTTGATATTTTCAAAATCCTCCACCACAGTGTTGAACATTTTTTTCATTTCTTTTGTAAATCCAGTAGCTACATTTGTTCGCTTAGGATGTGAGAAAGCTGTGGGATACAGAGTGTGGCAGGAGAATTACATGCTTTAACTTTCCTGTCATACTCTAATCAGACAGCTTTTCATGTCTTGATACAATTCACTCCTCAATTGTTATTACTTCTCTGAGCTTTGTCAATGACTGAAGCCACTAGATGGCTCTACTTTACACAACACTGATTTATCTGTATTATCCCAAAGTCCAGTATTTCTTCTCTTCACTGTTTTTTAGCTGAACTTGATAGGGATTTGTCTTGCTCATATGGGCTGATAAATACTCCATCATATTCACCAGCAACTTTGTTTGTCCCCATAGAGCAAAAGAGCAAGTTAAAAGAGACTAAAAGCTTGAAAGGTAAGGGGAGCTGCAGGGTTGGGTCATAATTTTCATGCCAATCCTATTCTCTACTCTGTACATGGCTGAACACAGTTGCTAAAAGACACACAATCTTTTTTATAAGTAAAGTAAAAAGGTACAGTCAGCAGAGGTTTTACTCACAGATGCTGCTTCTCCCTTGAGAAAGGATGAGAGAGGGATTTGAGTGTTTGTGGTCTGTTGGCATCTACTTTTGGATGGAGTGGAGCTGTGACTTTGTGAATGAAGAGTCTGATCTTCTCCACCAGATTACTTCCTTGTTTCACATCATACACCTGCAGAGGATTCAAAAGAATTGTTTATCTGGAAATGAGAAATGCATTTCACATGAAATCACTGTAAACTGCTTAATATCTACCAAAAAACAATGAATGTATTGGTCATCTGGTCATAACAAAATGTCTGATATATAGTAGTATAGTCTAAATCCTGAGGTTGCTGCTGAGGTTGTAATAAACAACAGAAAACATTCATCTTCAAAATTTTCACCATGTAGCTCTCCAGCTCTGAGAGCCTCAGGTACAGAGAATTAACATTTCATACATTGACAACATACTGATGGGCAGAGTACCTTCTTTGTTGGCATCTTGAGCTTCATGAACTCAGCTTCTCGACACAGAACATTCCAAGGAGCATGGATCTTCAAGAACCCAATTCCAGGTATCTTACACTGAAATAATAGGAGTGGCTAGTCAGAGAATATTATCTATGAACCTGCAGCAGAAATACAGATCATGATTTGCCAAATTATATGAACCACTACTATGAATAGTACATATTTGGAAAAAGCTAGATGTTGCATTTCTGTTAGATTTAAAACTAAGCTGGTAGAGTCCCTTCAGCACAAACTGATGTCTTTACTGCTGCATATGAGATTATGTCTGCAGCCTCTACACTTACATAAATCACTCCTACACTGCCAGACTCACTTCACACCCTTCAGGTCAGCACACTGACACATCTTGATGCAGAAATATATCCATTTCAAAGTAGCTGACAGAGAGTACAGAATATATCATACATATACATATACCATGGATTTCAATGTAAAATGCTCATATGGTTTGTTTTGCCTGATATGCAAAGGCCCTGTGGTGGAAATTTATCTCGTGATGTGAAATAAAGAGTTTCTCAGACCGGAGTTGTCTTTAGGTCAATTAATAGAAAGCTCTGCAGAGGGTTTCACACTCAGCATGAATGCTCAGAGAAGAACAACCCCAGATAGGGAAAGAAGAAGGTTTTATACAGTCAGGTAAACAGCAAACATAAGAGACAACTGTTTCTGAGTAGCATTAAAAAACTGAAGCCACCTGTAGTCTGGTTAACACAGGAAGCTGTCTGCTCTTACTTCTGCATAAAAGAAGGAGTTTGCTACTGCACAGATCAGGGTCAACAAGAGGATCATCATCGAGAAAGGACATGAACTCTGAGGTTACATCTGCCAAGTGCATAGCAACAGTCATGGCATTGGATAGTTGAGGGTAAAACAGTAAAAGGTTTCTGGTCTGTCTAGTTTCGAATCGTACGTCTGCACGTACGCCAGGCAGTTCCTCTTATGCGAGCACAATTGTGTTTCTATATGTGCATTTGATTTGTTTATTGCTTATTTATTTAATGAAAAAGTACAGAATTATTAATTATTAAACCATGCACGATGTGTATTCCTCAAACTAGGTCCTCATGTTAGGCAGTCACACATGCTCTTTTCTTTTTACTACTAGTTAATGTTCCGCTAGATCTAACAAATACAGAAGTTCTTTTTGGATGGAGGTTACCATCATGCTAGTTCTAGCGTGCATGTGAGGAATGTGTCTGGGTACTCGCGATTGTAGCATGCATAGAAGCATGTGTGCATCTGTAGTCAGCTTGCAAGTCCACAGCTGCATGTCATGTTAGTAGCCTATATAGAGTCTACACAAATAAACCAGACAAACCAGAATGGTTTATATAAATAATGTTTTCAGCCATAACAGTAAAATGTAGAATGTTACAGGTTCCTGCTTTGTTTCCTTTGGTTGGCAGTCATGGTATTTATGATAAAATACACCAGGCTGTATTGAAAAAGAAAATAGTGGACTGAAATTTAATTATAGCCATTACTTCTGTACATCAAGCTGTCAAATCACATATAATCCATACATAATTACCCACTGAAAAAGCCTATTAATATTACATACTGGCTGTCCGTAGGACACTTTGTCCAAAGTTTGCCTACTCATTTTCAAGCCTATTAGTCTTTAAGCTGCTAAGAGCCTTTTTCAGAATATAGGTTTGCTCATGTGGCTCTTAATGGATGATGAAGTGTGTGAGAAGTCAATGAAACCTCCATTTGTCTTTTCCACTGGAAGGTGGCAAAGAAATGACCAAAAGCTTTAGTTCTCCATTAAAGAAAACAAATGTATCCATGGGTTCACTCACAGAGCAAGTACACAGTGGTGACACAGAAGCTACCAGGAATATGGTCTAACAAACATCAACTCACTGATGAGATAAGACAGAAAAATAAACCTAATAATGTAAAGTAATTCTCCGGAGTCACTTCAAAGACATGGATTAAAAAACAATTAAATGGCTGTTAGGCAACAGACCAACTTAGCTCAGTCAGTGATTATATTATGAAAATATAAACATAACATCTACCCAGGAAGTTGCTGAGCAAACTTATTCGTCTGAATTTGTGTATTTTATCAGCTCTTTAGGCAATAATATTTTGCATAATTTGTTTACTGAGATAATGTATATTTTCATTTGGAGCTATAACAATATTGAAATTGTATTCTTTTCTGTTTTAATAACTCTGAAAGTAAGTCAAACTTTTTTGACAAATATTGAGTAGAGTCCATGCTGATCACTCTGACCTGGCATAGAGAGCATGTTAAGCATGTAAGTTCTGGCAGCAGTATTACCTGACCTGAGTTGAGGTCAGGCCCCTTTCTTGCTAGGCTCTCCAGTCAACATATCAGAATCTGTGATACTTAAACAAATGAGAGCAGACTCTCAATCGAGAGTGTCATAGTGTGTATTTAAGTAGAGTATGTCCAGTATGTCCTCAGGTCGTTTTTGTCCCTTCGGGATCAGGTGTCCTTATAGAAGCTATGACCATATGTTCAACATAATGGATCATTCTGACCTCCTTTAATGTGGATTTAGACCCCATACCTCTCACTGAAGAACAACAGATTATTGAGGTAAATATCTACATGTGCCTAAAGCATTCCTCAGAAAACAATTCATCAGTTCATCAACATTCAGTCATATAAGCTGAATCTGCCCTGTGGCCTGCTTTATGTTATACCTCTCTCACATTCAGCTCTGTAAACTCCTTCCCTCTTACTCACCCCTTCATCCTTCTCTAACTCAAGTCCTGTCTCCAAGAGGTTCTCCTCAAACTCCTCTCGCCTGAAGCGCTTGTCATCCTCATGATAGTCTGTCCGTTGCTCCTGGGCGGCAATTTCCGGGTCCTCCTTTGGCTGCAGTGGGGCTCGGCTGCTTCTCATACTCAGGCTGCGGCGAAGCCTTCGGACGAAGTTGTTGTCACCAAAGTTGGATGACCTTCGCTTGACGCTGCTGGGCTTCTGGATGTGGTATGCCAACACATAGTCTACCCGGCGCCGCCCATCAGAAAAGTATGGGGCGAGCTGCGGGTATAGGGGCGAGCTATGATCCGCATAAAGATTTTTCATCGGCTAGAAGCAAGACAGAAACAGGGAATACAGATTACTATAAACTTTATAGTATATACTTTTATATTATTTCCCATAAATAAAGAATAGGTTGACAAAATTCTATTAAGTTCAAAAGTCTCTGTGAAGTTTATAATATGAGGTGAGATGGGTCACACATCATTTTGAGGGTGATCGCTAAATGAGCAGTCACTTTCTAAGGAATCTGTCTAGAATCTTAGAAACAACACACACACACACACACACACACACACACACATACACACTCGCTGTACTCTGCCGCTCTGTCTTCAGTAAATGTACTTTCCCTAATTTCTATTTCTCTCTGAAATTTTATAATCATGTCAGAGCCATTCTCCCCAAAACTACTGTATTATTTTAACTCCTTTATTCCTATTATCTGACCTTTATTCCAACCACAATTTATGTACAAATATGACTGCTTTTGACACTGCTGTCTATGAGAATGGGTATTTAGTTTAGTTTAATTTTCATAGCACTGCCATACAAGCCTGTAGCCAGTCAGATTTACCTTCAGCCTCAGCGTACCCTCAGGTTCAGCTTTCATATTTACTCCAATTAAATGGCTGAAACACCTCATGACTCCAAGGTACAACTAAAGATTATGATTTTCATTATAGTACCCTGTCTGACAGAGTTCAAATATAATGTTCCTGATCCTGAAGAGTGTGAAGCACTTTATAACCTTGTTTAGATAAGTGCTATAAAGTTGCAACTTAAACATGATGATATGTTTTGGCAAATAGAAGGTTCGGGAATAGTTTGCTTGGTAAATATCCAAAAATATTTCACTACACCTAAATCTAAAAAACTTGGCTTAAGATTTTAAGTTTATTTATAACAATATAAGACTAATCAAATTGGATTGAAAGTGACCAAACAAGCCAACAGCTGTCATGAGATTAAGATTTAAATGCTGCATAAAAATATGTGACTTAGTCTCAAATCTCTTCAGATGCAGTGACGATAAGAACAATTGCACATGTCAAAACTGTTCTTACTTTGACAGAAAATACTGAGTTAATGTAGGCCTAATCACTCGGTTAGAAGCTGACTGTTAAATCTGTATTCTGTCTTCAGACACAACCACATGTAGTATAAAGGATTCAAGCGTTGGTCTCCAATGTCATTATCTTGCACCTCCCCATTCTCCACCCTCTCCTATATAACAGGAGTGGCCTTTGTGGACTGGAAAACACAGTTATGTTTCTTCCAAAATATCCAGGGTAAATCCTCTGGTGGTATATAAACACACTTTTCCCGACACATTTGAAGAAATGTAGCCCTTTCTTTGATATTGAAAGAGAGGTCAGGGGTCAATAAAACATTTTAGAGCTTAGAAACATCCCGTCTCAAAACAAGTACATGCATTTGTAATGTCCACACTGGACTATAATTCTTTACTAGCAGGATGTCCCAGGAAGTCTGTGAAAAGCCTCCAGTTGGTCCAAAATACTGCAGCACGAGTGCTGACAGGAACTAGAAGGAGAGATCATATTACTCCTGTTTAAGCTTTTTTACATTGGTTCCCTGCAAAATTCAGAATAGAATAGATTCAAAATCCTGCTCCTCACATACAGAGCATTTAATAATCAACCTCCATTATACATTTAAAAACTCATAGCACCGTATTTTACCAGTAGATCACTTTGCTCACTACTCTTATTTGTGGTTCCTGTCGAAGAGTAGAACAGGAGGTGGAACCTTCAGCTAACAGGTTCCCAACATAATCCCTTATTAAAACCTTATATTCTTCAATCACACTAAAAAGACACAGCCGGATAGTGATACTTTGTGGTAATTTTATTAACAGTGCTACTAATATGAGACCTATACATTGCAGAAGATCTATGGTGCCTCGTACTGTGGACAATTGGTGGATCTGCGGAGGAAAATGTGAACCAATAGAAACACAAGAGGAGTTGCTGTATGTCGGCGAATTTCACAGCTGCCAGTTTCTTTGGGATGTAGTGGATCTACAGAGGACAGAGCTCAAGGATACACGAAGGCTTAGGGCCACATGCAGTATGAACAGAGGAGTGCTCGAGACATAGTTCAGGATCCTGAGAGGAACAGTCTCTGGGGTGTTTCTACTAAAGTGACCACTCAAAAGACGGAAGAAAGTACATACTGTACATGAGTTCAAAACAGCCTTAAACACAGCAGATATCCAAAGGCTGTTCACATGGTGATGAAGGCACAATCACATGGGAACACATGTTGAGAAGGTGGCCGTCACAAACTCTGGTAGAATGAAGGTGAATTGCCGCCTGGGACATAGATCAGCAACTATTATTGAAAAAGTAACACTGCACTGAAATGAAAAGCTTTTCCTCAGTACAGCAACCAAGACACTGTACTGCAGCAATTTGTGTTTCTGTGTGTGTACTGTATATGGCCCACAGTCTCATCCCCACCACACACACACACACACACACACACACACACACACACACACACACACACACTTTGAAATTCAGCCCTCTCTCAACAGGAAGTAGTCATAGCTGGAAAGGTCAGAGGTTGCTTCTCGGAGGGCGCATGAGGATGTGGTGGTGTATGCATCATCCACCAATAAGAACTCTTTTCTCACCAAGCTACTGGGAAAGGAGGTTCTCTCCTCTGGGCTTCCACATGCACACAACCACCCCCGCACGCACACACACACACACACACACACACACACACACACACACACACAGCCATAAGCACTAGGCTAAGACAACCCAGCAGTTTTCCAGTCAATAATGTTTTTCATAGCAGCAGTGAGCTACATGTGACAGCTGGAACAGTTTTTTTTGCATGTTGACGGTTGAACTCACAACTGCAGAAATCTGAATTCCATAACCAGCAAAACCTGGGCCAATAGTGACTCTGGTCCGAATAGACAAACGACTAAAGATAACTGATATTCTTCCTTCCCTCTGGTGGGTTTTACACTGATGAGAGCTGTAAAAATGCTAATCATATCAGCTTATACATTTAGGAGGTGGTAGCCTGCAAACCAGGACAAACCAGCTGATGTTTATTTGTTCTCACCACATGGTCCTCTTCCACAGATTCCCATCAGCCCCGAAACTGGCCAGCCAATCACAACATTTTAAACTAAAATGTCACAATGACTGACAAAAGAGCACCCAATGGGAGCATTGCTAAAAGATTCTTTATTCAAACCAAGATGGCTGTGACTGATGTGGACGGGTCTGTTTTGTCCTCTATCAAATCTGTATTAAACAAACTGGACATGTGTTTTTCTCAGACAAAAGAATAACTGCACACTATGAGCTGTTTTCAATGTTCCTGTAACTACTGTGTCACATGTTTCGTTGCCCTGATTGGTTGCTCTGCTCTGTGTATGTTGATAACTCTCTCTGGAAATCAACTAAAAGATCCCAGAAATAGATATGGTGAACATGTTTGTTAACACATTATCGCATTCTGCAGATTTTGGGTCCACCTGAGGATAAAGTTCAACAGTCACTCTTCTAGCTGTGCTGCCAAACCAATGTATTCGGTGTGTGTTTGTAACTATGAGAAACTAATTTCACATGAGATGTAGTCACATAAACCATTGATTCTATAAAACAAATTAATCTATGCAGCAGCATGAACTCTCCTCATTTTGATCATGCCATTATCTCTCCTCTAGCACCACACTCAGGACAAAATGTCAGCTAAAATATCTCAAATTTAACAGGCGTAACCATGAAATTTGCAGAGCACATCAAATTCTTCCATGGAGACAAATAATTTTGATTTGAATGATGTGTAATGAACTTTCCTCTAGCACGTGCCTCATAAACTTAAATATTTGGAATGACTGTTGAAATTGCTGCAAAAATAGTGACATCAGTGTCTGGTTTATTTTCTTTCATAGCACCTATGTATTGTGAGATCTAATTAACATTGCAACTAATAAAGTCCTTTTTCATTCTGCTCACTGTTCTTCAGTGCTTTTTCCTTTTGTTGGTTGTCATGATCATGGGGAATCTGTTTGATCTGAGTGTTGCTGAACTGGAGAAATATCCTTCAGCTCAGGTTGTACTTTAAACTGGCCCTGTTATGCTAATTTCCAGCTCTATATTTGAGGACTCCACTAGTGAAGCTCTGCATGATTCACAGTTCAAAAAGTCGTTAATTCTCTCAGACTGCTTGTTACGCCGCCTCTCAGTTGAGCATCTGAAATAGCTGATATTAGATCAGGCCTCCTTTAGAGACCTCTTTAAAAGTCCACTTTCTTCTGACTGGACCAAACATGCAGAAGCCTGCTGAGGGGCATTGGACCCAGCACGTGTGATCACCACCTTACCAATGTAGAGGTTGTGAAAGCAAATGGTAAAACAAAGTAACTTGTGACTAAAACTAAGTAAAAAAACTGGAAAAGACAACTTCTCAACTCCAAACACACTGATCCATTTTGGTCACCAAACATGTAAAACAGATAACTTCCTGTTCCCCTGACACTGGGTGATTATAACAGCAAATGCAAACCCTGTAGTGATCACAACTTTTTAAATACAAATAGTACATCTTATGAATGCTGAACAACTGACAAAGCAGAAAAATGCTACTGAAACTGAACTATGTGTGGTGGTCTGTTGGCTCTTTGAAATGATCTGTGAGTTACTTTGAATAATGCCCACTGGCCACAGTCCATTTTCATAAAAAAGCAACCTTGCACGCGAATGAGAAGTGAACACAGTTGATCAATACCTTGAACACAATAGGACAGTCACAAATCACAATGCAGATGTTAGGTAGAGGCAGTATGTTGACCTGTTTATGCTGCTGACCTTATATTACTTCTCATTGCACAACAAAGCAGTCAAATTCAATGAGTAATCACTAACAATGGGAGCTTTCTTTAGGAAATCATTGTAGTTATATTTTTTACCACATCATTGTGTAAGCAGCTTCACTAATTGCTGTGTATGTGTTGTATCAGCACAATCAATTTTGTATTTTAAAGAACCCTTTTCTTTTACACCCTGGATATAAATAAAAATTCTTCTTAAAGAAAAACTGCAGCTCTGGATATACTCATAGGCAGAGAGGTAAAATGGTTCAAATGTATAAAGTGCTTTACAGTACAGTCTGCCATTCACCCAATCACACAATGCATCCATTAGCAGCACTTTTTGTGTTCTATGAGGGGAAATTCGGGGTTCAGCAACTTGCCCAAAGACATTATTTTCTATGCCTGATGCACCAGAACACATATAACTAGGTACCCTAAAATGTCAAGGCACCTCACAAGCAACTTAATACAATTACAGTTATTCAAGACCACCCTTGTTTCCATGACCACCTGGATTACAATAAATTACGTTCCATTTAGCTGACGCTTTTATCCAAAGGGAATTACAAGGATAGAGGCACTGCTTCAGAAATTAAGATACAATGGATTTTACAGCAGGGTATGAGGTTGTAAATACTTACTTACTCTTTAAGAAAACAAAATCAGCAATTTAAATATAAATTCACTTCAGGTGAAAATGAATTGTTGGATATACTGACATCCTCTGATACTGATAGGTCTCAAAGGTTCTATAAATGTGGATAGCATGCCTGTGGCCAGATTTGAGTCATGGTTCGGTGGAGTGTAAAACTTTATGCAAAATGCATAAATAAAATCAGGCACTAACCATTTTAAAGCAAATTATATGTTTCAGCAAAGGGGAACAAACCAAAACACTAACTTCCTGTTGTTTTTACTGTTTGTCACCTCACACAGTATCTTTCGCTCTCCCTCCACACCCCCCTAAGGAGATGCTGTTTTCAAACCTATGCTCCACAACACACACCATAACCCAGCACCACTAAAATAAATGATTGGACGAACATATGCCCTGTATTGGTAGCAGAAAGGAAGAAATGGGGATTTCCAACACTATCTGATCATCATACAGACTATCAGCCTCAAACATACAATTTGGAAGAAGAATAAATTGTTATTAATATGGATGTAGTGTCTTACTATGGACTCGCTGCTCCTGGCATTGGTGTTAACAAAGTCCATATCTAGGTTCTTCTCCTCGCCAGGGACAGGCCAGTAGCTGTCAGTCCTCCTCATCATGGTGGGCTCCTCCTGTGATGGGCTGCCTGAGTGATCACTAACCAGTGGAGGAGAACCTGTGAGAAGAACAGGGAGAACTGCCATTAGAGTGTGTTATTTTTTGAAGACATGGTAGAAACATCATTTCTCCAAATCTGCATATGTCAAAGGTATGGTCATGGATGCATTATGATAAAGGAGGCCCCTGAGCCTCCACCATTCTCTTACATCTTGTATCATCTTGTGTTATTGTAAATTGTTTGGTGAATGGTTTGTATTTACACAGAACTTTTCTAGTCTTGATGACAGTTTGCCATTCACCCATTCACACACACATTCATACAGTGCATCTATTAGCAGCACTTTTTTTGTGTTCTATGAGGGGCAATTCAGGGTTCAGCATCTTGCCCAAGGACACTTGACCATGCAGATTGGGAAGACTGGGATCTAACTGCTGACTTTCTGGTTGGGAGACGACTGCTCTAAATCTTAGCCACAGGCCACAGGTGAAGCAGAACTTTCAGGAGCTGTTGTTGGCTCAAACTGTGTCTTAATAATCATACTGTGTCATAATAATCATACTATGTCATAATAATAATTGAGGCATTAGCCAACAGACTTAAAACAGACATATTTACATTAATCTGCCCAACAGGATTCCTAATAAGGCATGTACTCTTCACCAACTTGTGCCATATATTCAACCTCATCATTCTCAACAGTCATTTCAGAAGTTTTCGATCTTGCTTCAACGTTCTCAAACATTCGTGATTATTCCATAAATTGGCCCAAATCTAAAACTTTCACTCTGTGAGGATGTCTGGAAGACTGCATCAAAAAAAAGTCCTCTGACACAGCAGGTAATATAAAAACATTGGTATTTCAGACCTATTCCTTCTGAATTACTACAAAAACGTATTGAAGATCTCACAACTTGCCCATCTCACTGGAAGAAAAGCTGCAATTGAGAGTATCTTTGTCTCTATGAGCCCGGTCCAACCTGCATTACATTGGTTTAACACTTTTGACTCCTTCATAACTACTATTTATACCGTTTTACAGAAAACATTAGAAATCACAAATAGAATGATCCACCCTGTCGAGCCACAGCAGCCCCAAACTTCAGATACTACCACCTATTAAATCTTCAGTATATAGATTTTGTTTCCATCAGACACAACAATCGGAACACCCCTGGCTGGATATAGAACAATAACTGTAAAGGACTGTAATTATGAGTACTCCCATCCCTTACTCAACTGTTTCAATAAAAACATACATAGTCGTGACTCTGACTGTGGAAATGCAACCACATCACTGCACCATATCTAATATTCTTGTCATGACTGAGCTGAGTTTCTGGATTTTTGTTGGACTCCTTAGTTTATGGACATTTACCTTGGTTTTCTTTGTGTTTGGATTTGGTTGTGTTTCACCTGTGTTGTTACTCTCCTGCCTCCCTTGTGTATATAAGTCTCTGTGCTTCCCTTTGTCTTTGTCAGTTCGTCCTTTTGTCATGTTGTCTGTGTTCCGTATCGGCTGTGTTTGTGCCAGCTCTTTTTCTCTGTGTTTCCTTGTTAAGTATTTATTTGGCATTCAATGTTTGGTCCCAACCTTATCCATAAGAACCTTTAAAATAAAAGAGATTTTCGTTTTTTCACCTGCACTTGACATCTGAATTTGGATCCACCTGATCATCACATCACAACAATTCTCCACATTCAAAGAAACTAAACTATTAAACCAAATCTGGTGCAAACTGGAATTTCAGATCAGTTCTTAAAAAAGGCCTGTTTTTCACAATATGTACCACTAACACTCCAAAAATATTCACTTCTAATTAAACAGACATCTATCTCCCACAACCTGTTGAAGACTGGAAAAAGGATCTGGCTATTACCATAGATAGATATCAACTCCTGGATGCACACCAGCAATAACAGACGTAAGAAGTAAGATATTCCATACAAAATTCTACACAAAGTGAACTTCACTCATAAACAATACCATCTGCATACAGTTAGTGATTTTTCAGTGAGAAAGGAAAGTTGATAAACGTATTTATGATTGTAATAATTAAATATAAGATGCAATCACAAGGCTCCTGATCAGAGAGTGAGGGAGAGCATGCGGAGCATCAGGAGACCCATTATACAGGTACATATGAGGATGACTTCTTTTATATAATGGGGCCAGTGGGATACATGTAGAACAGAGGGATAAAGAAAATGATGGATGCTGTGGACAGTGATACCATATTAATTAAGACATGAAACTCTGGATGAATTACAGTAGAAAGTGCAAAAACATATATAGCCATATAAAAAGTGAAAAACTAAAAACACCATCAGTGTGCATGAAGGAGTGGTTGCCATCAAGTCTAGAGGTTATGCACATGACTCAATACTCAACATACTGAATAGTGGTGAGGCACTTTGCCAAAAGCCATTTTATCATCATCATCCCTTCACTACATAATATAACTTAATTGGAAGCCACGCTCAATGCTGCACTTGTGACACTCTACCATTAACAGTATATGGCTGTCACCAAATATACTGATAGATGCCCTGCTCACTCACAGGTTGTGTTGTACTACGAGACATTCTGACATCCCTTTCAAAAAGTCTTCAAAAAGAGAATACTGTTTCTGTGCAGTCATCCAGCTGTCAAGGGTTCAGTGTCATCACTAAATGAGCTGAGGCTACCTGAGTATTATCTCAGTAAAGATGTATGACCCAAACAAACAGGACTATAGGTAAGGAGTTGCATGTGGACGTTAAGCCGACGGACCTGCCATGAGGACTTCAACTCTTATCGTCCATAATACATAATACAGTATTATGGTTTTTAGCAGTTTTTTAAAGTGAGGTCAAAAATGATTACCTCTTTATTGTTCATGAGTGGTGACCTTACTCTGGTTGGCTAAAAAGTCCATGCAAGCTTTTTACTCCAAATAAATATCTGACAGAGATGGTGAGTCTCTGTTAGATTGTACAGTTACAGTTCAATGACATACTCAAGGTGTATGCAGTGAAAACAACGTACAGATAAATGAGGAGAGGCAGACAGGAACACTGAAAAAGGTCTCATGCATGAAACAGGAATGTAAACAGAGGTAAAAAAAAAAAGGACCTGGTGGAAATGTTCGGTAAATGTATTGGGTACAGTAATGAAGGAAATGAGTTAATGTTGTCCATGCAGGAAAGATGAAAAGCCAAAAACCTTAAATGTATTACAATCAAACATTTGTGTAACTGTCTTGTTTGGAACATTATTACCTTCACCAATGAGCTGATATTTTCATTGCCATCTGTCTGCCTGTCTGCCTGCCAGCCTGCCTTTTTGTTTGTCTGTGACATACGGCGTAAGCCTTGGTGGAGCTATGTGCTCTCAGAGCCCCGTTCTAGTGTCAGTATTGTTTTTGCATTGCTGATCTACAGTGAACCATGAGAGAACAGATAGGGTTTTTAGATTCTGCAACTCAGAATACCTGAAGCAGACTTGATGTAACACGTCTAGCATGGCATGGCAAGTTAGACTTTGTACAGTACATCAGCCTTCTTCTGTACCGTGTGCCTTTTTGTGTGATTTATTTGGGTATATAGTATTCTGTGTACTTTAGTAAATTATTATGAATAGTATATATTTAATTTGGGCATTTGAAGCAACTAGATCAATGCCATTCGTTGACTGGCACTACTACAGGAAATCTTGGAACATCTTGAACCTCTTGCTTTTCACAGGAGTATTTCAATTAAAATACATAATTTTGATCAATTATGTATCATAAAATCAAATGCTCTGATTTGGCGTTTTGTTATAGAGATTAAGATTTCTATTTTTGGTCCCAAACACAGCATGCAACATGCAAACATGGGGAAATTTGATCTCTCTGTATTTAACCCATCTGTGTGAACGCACACACGGAACACAATCCAATCGGGGGGTTTGGTGCCTGAGTTCCATCCATGCCTGACTTGAACCGGCCACCCTCTGGTTCCTAAGCCAAGTCGCTATGGACTGCGCTACTCCCTAGGAGGGTGGTTCCATAACACCACCCTGCCATAGACCTGATAACATCTGCCAAATATCTTGGCACAGAGTCTAGACAGGCAGCACCAAGCATGCACTTTGGATTTACTTTCACAACACAAGATGTTTTCAGTGTAAATCAGCAACAGGTTGGTTCACTGTTGGTTCGTCTGAAATTTGAATCTGTCTTTGTACACATTTTACTATTTATACCGATTTAAATATGCAAAATGAGTTTGTAAGTATGGTAACAGGTTTGGAAATGTACAATTTTCCCAAAGACCATGGAATGCTCATTGGTTTCTAATGAGCTAGATAATAAGAGCACAGATTAAACAGACATCCAGTGAAGATAACACCTCCATGTAAAAAACTAGAATAATAATTAGCTTGTTGCCTTGAGAACAAGTAGGCACAATAATGTTTAAAAAGAAGAAGAAGAAATCTTGCGCCTGAAAAATATTCAGCTGACAAATTGTATTTGCCTGCCACATTGTTACACTGTGTGGCTCAAAGCAGAATAAAGTATGTAATGTGTTAACTCTGAGAGTGGTGTGAACCATCATTCAGCTAGAGTTTCTGAGAAATACTGTATCACCTTCTTCAGAGAAAAAGTTACACATGTTAGTTATCTGCCAGGACAGTACAGGGACAACTAATAAGGACAACTAATGGATTTATTATCAAAAATGACAGTTCACTCATTATCTGCTAAGAACTTAAGTACTCTTATGTTGTTGATGTGCTCTTCTTCACGCAGCAGCTGGGTGAAGGATCTCTTGCTTGTCATTCTCTCTGTGGTTTCTGTGGGTTTTAGTTTTTCCTTACTCTTTTTGAGGATTAAGGGCAGATAATGTCACACATTGTTAAGCCCTATGAGGCTACATTTGATGTGTTGCTATAGGCTATATAAATAAAACTTTTGTGATTGATGGATTGAGTTGCATTCTCCTTTGGAAGCAGCTCTTCCCACCTCAAGGCCCTCAAGAGGCAGATCAATCTGTCCACTGACTGCAGAGAGCCAGACTGATATTCCATCATTTAACTCTTGGTAGACAGTGAACTAACCCATTCTACCGCATGTCAAAAAATATGAACTACGCCTCTTAAGGTTAGGGGGGAAACTCTTTTACTTAGGGTACGTTTTTTGGTCATGGATTGTCCTTACATTCTTCACATTTTCCATGAGGTCAGGTTGGAAACAGAAGAGCAACAGTGTCAAAGGAAACAAATGTCTTGAAATCTTAACTATCTTATTTGGAATAGTAAGCCAACATTAAATGGGAAAATGTCAATGCTGTGCAGACACGTTTAAATGACCACAATTTTTTAAATAGTCAGACTCAACAGCATCTTAATGTAAAAACAATTTGAAGACCTCCAGGTAGCACTGGCATCTTGAACACCACATAGGTTTCTGTATCAGTAAATCAACAACTGCAGTTCACCCAAATCATCCAGAGGGAATGTAAGGTCAGCTCTGACAGATGTAAACTGAAGATAACACATGCGAGGCTTTTTCTCTCCAGCTACGCTGTATACGTCTCAACGCGCGCGCAACCAGATCATCATCATCATCGTATTCCTGCATCTCTGACAAAATGTAGAAAGAAATGTTTGCGGGAATATGGCACTCTTACCGGGCTCCTCTGCACCACCGTGGTGAATCAAGCGCCCCACCGTCTCACCTCCATCATCCTGTCGCTCCATTGGGTTTAAAAGGCGCACAGAGTCCTAATGAGACCCGCACCACATCTACTGTGCCGTCGCTCTCTGTAACAGCATGTATCCCTCCGTGAGCCTCGTCACTTCACAGCCGCTGTTGCGTGGAAACGCTGGACAGAGAGCTACCACTTGTTCATTCTTACAGAGACCTGATGGACTGCTGTCAAAGTCTGTCCTGGCGAGTCCAAATGAAGCGAAAGGACCTCCAGATATAACTGATGTAAATGAAATGAATACACAAGCTACTTCAGGTCTGAATGAATCTGCCTCCGTGACATTATGTGTCAGCGTGACACTGTACTATGCTAAAACACATCTGCGTGTGTGTGGGTACGTGCTCTGTTTGAGCCCCTCTCACAGAGCAGAGAGAACGCGCAGGGACGCGCAGCAGGAATTGTGCGAAAACGCTCGAGACTGATGCTGGATTCAAATGTTCCGGGAAAAGAGGGAACGAGGGCCGATTATTCCAACAAGATGATCACGTTAAGTTATTTGTTCTTACACAATTAAATGTAAAGGGGGCATTGCCCGCTTCATATCAGCTTGTTGTTCAGCAGTGCAAATAATAGCATATGAAACATATTTTACCAAAAGGTACAGAGCTGTGTTTGGTATCCTCTTATACATGTTTACATTTTTCATCTAAATAGTTTCGGGTGATCATTAAGTAACTTGTTCTGTTTTGGGGTAGATTATTGGTCTGTCCAGTTCGTACCTAGCATAGATCAGCATTTTCCAAATTGTAATTATCGTGCAGTATTTAAAAAAACCCAATTAGATTGTTTAAATCTGTTTTTCTGTTCTAGCTATATTGGTGGAGCAACAAAATACTTTTTGTTTCTCCTTGTTAATTTGCCCAATGTGAACCAACATTATAAATGTTGCCGTCAGTTATATTAGTAGATATTTGTACACAAATGTGTTATCAATAGCCAAATGTTTTCCCTTGTGTTTCAATAAAAGGCTGTCATGTCTGGCTCAGGATGAATTGTTAGACAATTGCTAAAAATGTATTCACTGTGCAAAAGATGGATTCTTTTTCATCCAGGTGGATAGAAGAGTGTGTGGAGAAGCTGGTAAAACACTGGGAAACATTCCCCAAGGTTTCTTGAAGATCACCTGGTATTTACTCAGCTCTGTCTTGAATGGCATGATCTCCAGTGACACATAAGCACTAACTGTGGCTATAGAGGAAATGCTTTACACAGAGTACAACATCTACCCTTTCATTTGCACGCATACAACGCTACAAAGCAGCGGGGGGACATAGGCATTAGAGGAACATGATATAGTTCTGTTATTTCCTATAAAACATGAATGCAGCATTGTTCTCTGGCTCCAGCATCAGTGCGCCAGCTGGTGCTGCCCACTCGCGCCAGGGTCTTCCAGTAGGCGCGAGGTGATCAGAGCGCACGAGTACGTGTTGTAGTGTCGCACATAGAGAGATCACCTCTGAGCGAACAGCAGACTGAAGAGCGCACTCAAAAGGTCATCTTCACCCTTCACATGATCTAAGTGACCGACACGAAAGAACAGCCCCTCTTCCCTTCTCTACCAGTCTCCAGGGAGCCTGTTTGCTGCCAGCAGCGATCAGCTATTTGTGCGCAACTGTGTTGTAGCCCAACCTGCTCACCAGTCACCGGTTGTGAACTCTGCTATTCAACGGGCAGCAAAGATAATCCCATCACTTTACAGATACAGCCGCCGTTCAATGTTGGTTCAATGGATGAAAAGAGAATAAATGACAGCAGGTTTCTGACTGATATAAAGCCGTATAATATGAAATACAGGATATTTACCTTTCCTCCAGAATTACAGAGAAGCCGTTCGGGTAGAAGGTAAAAAGAAACAATTGCTGGTACTGGCAAGGTAACACTTCCCACTCACCTGAATGAGACGGGGCAGAGGAGGAAGTGCTTCTGGCCTCCTCAGGTACAGTCTCTCCTCCCACTCACACAGCAGCTCTGGGACTACATGTCGTCAGTGGGGGTTTATGCAACGTGACAATAAAGACTTGGGAGTGCTGATTGAGTGAAGAGACAACTCAGCTTAAATTAAAACGCATACATCCTGTATGATTCAGAAGTGTACACCAACCTTTTATTTATGGAAGGTGATCTGAGATCTGCATTTATATCTTACCTTTATTAAAGGTAAATGATTCAGTCTGGTAGACAGGGAGTCTCCCCAGATGAGACAGGCATTTCCAACCAGCATGTGTGGACTTGTCGGGAAGTCCTCAAGATATGAAACAAGACCTCACCTCTAAACTTACTCTGAGGTCTTGCAGAGTAACACAATTCAATGAAAAGCACTGAGATACCACTTTTATATTTTATGTTGTCATGTGCTGTTCCATTCAAATGTCTCAACGTGTGACTTTACATATTCAAAATGTGTCTCACAACTATGTTTGGGTTATCTACCTGATCTCTTGAACTTTAAGGAAACAGATACTCACTGGTCTGCTGAAAAGAGTGAGGTGATATTTGATCAGGGCTTGAGTAGCCATGTGATTTCCTTAAGGTGGTTTGCACAATGAAAAATTAACTTCTTGTGAGACATGCTGAGCCCACACTGGTCTGGGTACAGTGATCCGGCAGAGGAATTACAGTGCTATTGAATGCGTATTTCAACTGCAAAATTTGGGACAAATTTATGACAGTGGTGATTATTATTTTGTTACTGAGAACATGCGGTAGTGGCCGCAGAGATGCAGACATATACTATTATTGTTATTATTAGTGGCAAATTAACAGCACCAGCAGTTCAGTAGCTGTACTAATAGTAGAAGAACTTCATTTTTGTTGGCTCTTTCTAGTAAACGGCCACTCAAACCGCTTTACACTGTGTTAATGTAAGGGAGTGTTATTGAACTTCTCTATCATATTCCATTCACATACTAATGCAACAGCCATCAACAGTAATTAAAGGTTCAGTGTCTTGCCAAAGTTTTGAAATGTGGAATGGAGAAGCTGGAGATCGAACCACCGGCCTTCCAATCAGCTGCTCTACTTCCTGAGCCTCTAATAGTTGTACTGCCATCATAGCAGGGGTAGAAGTAGTGTAAGAAACCATACATTAGTCACAATCCTGCAGTCATTATAGTAACAGTAGCAGGAGAAGCAGAAGTAGTAACAATAGAAGTATATGTGCAGTTTTTTTTTAGCTGTGTTCCATGGTAGCTCTGGCCGTGATTCCCCAAAAATCATTGAATGTCCTTTTATGGCAAATATGGCCTTTGTGTTCGTGCTACTATCACAGGGTTGATTTAGAAGCAGCAGTAGAATGACAGCAGTTTGAATATGCTATCATCATAGGCTATATCAGGTGTCTGAAAATCTGAAAGCTGGAGAAGTAAATGTCATTTCATGGATTGTAACAAAATTGATTCTCCTTTGTGTGAAAAAACAAATACATCAGACACAAGTTATCACAGTGAATAATGTTTGATGTCATTTGTGTGTTTTTTTTCTCATCATAAAGTCCTATGAGTTGAAGCTCAAAATCCAATCTTTTCACTCAATGGCCTTCATGCCTAGTATGTGGCCACTTGTAACAGCAGAATTTAAAGTGATGCAATATTGTAAGTTCAAACTGAACTTTTGGTTCACATCATCATATCATCATTACAATATTCATACTTCAATGTTCACTCCCATTTCAATGACTCACATTTCTCTACTTGTATATTCCTTTCATCAAGCTACTGTTTTGTTGTGACTTTCTATGAGAGGCTGATGATTAATTGTTCCCTCTGTATGAACTGAAAACGACCTTTTATGAGTGTGATTCTGACCGGACAGGAAGCCTGACTTGAACTTTTGGTGTACAGCCCTGAGTGTGCTACTGTATTTATCTTTTGTTATAAATACATTTTGTTCTAAAAAGCCTTGTGACAACAATCAGATTTGATTTGTAGGGTCTTTTATAAACTCTCCTTCCATGACCTCAGGGCACATCAAACTGTGATTGACATTGTATGTTTCATGAGGAACAATTTTGAGCATTGCAGTATGTCCTCACCACGTCAACAATCACCCTTACATCCATGTGTGTGTGTTTGAATAACCGGCAAGATTTCTTTGTCCCTTGCTGTTAGTAGCAGAAAACCACTGTACAAGTACAGTCCATTAGTAACAGCATATAATTAACAGATCTATGAAACAAGGATGAAAAGTCTGTGATTGGAAAGCTAGTGAAGTGCCCTCTGTGAAAGATATCAAGAAGCTCTAGTCTGGATCTTGGGTGCAGGTATATACAATTATTTAAAGTTTCCAGGGTTTACCTGTGGGGGTGTTAATAGGTCTTACTTGTGCAGACAGGCTGTCATTATCAGCATGAGAAAAATCAACAGTGAAGAGGTCTGCTTGCATTTTTTGGAAACCTGTTCTCCTAGGTTTTTCACGTGCAGTGACAAATCAAACAGGGACCGCTGTTCTTGCATAAAATGAAAATAAAAAATCACAGATAGGTGTCAGTGTGGACATTGGGAGACTGATTCATTGAAATCCAAGCACTCCTGCTTCCGGTGTGGGCCAAAGCAGGGCAAGCCATAGAGAATGCAATACATTTGCATGAGCTTTGTCCTCCTATTGTGTTTCTCAATAATACAAAGACTTTCATAGCCCTGGGTGTTGGTTTACATGCCACACCCGAACCTTGCAGAAGACAAGAAAATCAGGAGAGAGACCATCACTAACGAAATGTCCACTGGACTCACTTTTCCACATGCCCAATTTTTTAGATAAAATATTTATTATTTATTTAAGAGAAAACCAGATACTGTACCAGAAGTGTGATTTAGCTGTATTATATTAGTATTCTAATGTGTCCATTTGAAAAGTGGTTTATAAACATGTTTTTTTTAACCAAGGCAGTTGGCTGTAACTGCTGAGAGATTACATTGTGAGTTTAGTTTAATGTGTTCATTGGTTATTTAATTTCTATTATTAGCTGTGGGGCTGTTGGCCTCAGAGGAGTGGCATCATTGGTTGGAGGGTATCAGAGTAGCCATTTGCTTTGTGGACAGATTATAAGAACCTTGCACTTTTTCTATCAGCCAATTAATTCCCTGACAAAATTGTGGAACAAGCTGTCCAGCTTAAACCATAACATTTTGGTTAGAGGCAAACACTTAGTTAATTCAACAATTACTGCATGGATGAGATCTTGCACTTGATCTGAACCAAATATGCCTCACAATGCCCTCTTGAGCTCAATCACAGATTTGTCCCCTTATGAAGCTTCCTTGTGTTACTTACCACCTC